GTCTGCTGAATATGCCATGACTTTATAGAAACCATAAATCCTCCAAACACTTCTATCTGAATGGACAAGCACGTGATTTATAACCAAAGCTGGACTTGGATCATCTGTTCTGGTTCTTAAGTCTTTCGTAGAAAAAATAACCCACAAATACAAGGGCATGTTCATATTTTGCAGAGGCTGTGGAGCTGTGGACAGAGTTGTGGAATTATGGGAGAAAGAGGCAGGGAGAGCTCTTAGAGATTGAGGCAGTAATCCCCCTACCATCTGTTGCTCCATCTCTCTCTGTCTCTCTCTCAGTCTGTATCTTTATCTCTCTATCTGTATCTCTCCTCCTCGCTCTCTCTCTGACTACACAAAATCCATCCAACAGCACAAGGCGGAAGTACAGCACAACTCTACTTCCTGGTTTTCAATTTTCTGTTTCACTCATGGGAGAACATAGATGGAGAAGTTGGGAGTTTTGGGATATAGTTTTGCAGTACAAGGAGGTTTATTAAGAAAGAATACTAGTATATTAGGTTAAGGTTAAGGTACTCTTTTATTGTCCCCATAGAGAAAATTGTTCTCTGCATTTGACCCAGCCTTCAATGCCGTTGGAGGATCTCACACGCCTGCCTGCGTCCGTACCCGTCTTGTTGCTAGGCTTGGTCAGGACTACCTTAGCTGGACGATTGTACGTGTGGTGCATTTTTGGGTTGATGGGAGAAACCAGAGTGCCCGGAGGAAGAACAGGGAGAACATGCAAACTCCATAAAGAAAGGTCTGGGAGAACCGGGGATTAAACCTGGGATGCCGCCATATATGAACACAATTTTTAAGCCAGACAATAGAAATGCATCATTGTGGTTGTGTTTATTGCACTGAAAAATGTAGGAAAAACATTTACTCTGAGCTGACCTTACCTTACTCCTCCTGCTTGTTTCCATGGAAATGTTGTTCTTTTGGCTCTGCATAGAGAATGGAGAATGTTCCGAAGTATGGTTTTAATTTCCTCTTGGGAAGGAATTATGCAGGAATCATGCAGGACCTAAAAAGTTACACATTGTACCTTTCAATGCAACTTCAATCCATCTGATAGTAAGAGAAGATTACAAAGCATAACATCCCTGCCAACTTAACTGAGTTGTTAATGTTCCAGGGCTGTCTTTCAATAAAAGTAAAAACCATAAACTTCCTGATAAAGTTTTTTCTTATTTTTTTCTCCCTGTTCTGCCATAGCTTAAATAGATTATGATGATATAAAAATGTAATTATAATAAAACATTTCTCCTGTCATGATAAAGTATAATCTGAATGAGTAATATTTTAACATAATCACACAGATGACTGTTTTTGATGTTTAGTATGCCAGAGCCACTACTAAACCGTAAGACAAATAGCCTCTTAAGCCATGTCGGACCAGAACACACAGAGATACACATCAGTTCCCACTTAAATGGCCCTCTGGTTTATTGAGGTCTGCAGTGAGCACCAGAGCCCTAAATAACATCATGTCAATTGGAACACAAGCCACCGTGCCTGTGCATTTGTCCCGCTGACGAACATCCAGACTGGGTAAACACGACCAGTGGAAAGTGATTTTCTCAGACACACTTGCTCCCGCTCTGGGTCATTTCCACTTTAGCCTGTTCATTTGTCACTCACTGGACACAGGGAACAAGACTTTGTTTAATGTCTAACTATCAGGCTGGTCAAAATTATGGCTGCAACATTAATCACAATGAAACAATTTGATTTGCAATTTGAATGGACATACTTAGCAAACTGGAAAGGCAACAATTTTATTTAAGTTAATTTAAGTTAGCATAATCATTCAGGCCCCCGGTAGGTGCTTTCTCGGGGTCTAACGGTACATATATTCATGCTGAACCGTTTCGGTACGGGACGTTCCCTTCAGTACAGGGCAGTGCATGAGTGAATTTGTGCAATTTGTGTGTGTTTACATTCTGCCACTACATGTGCAGCTACACGGAAGGCTCTGCTCTTTAATATTCACAGGGGAACTCATCCATGATTGGGGTGGCAGTGTTTCCTGCAATGCGTTATACTTAGGGCGGCTGCCTTGACAACAATTGCCCCCCACCTTGACTACGTCCTTCTGAACCAGGTGAATCCTCTCAAAACTATGGTCATCGCGCTGCAGTCCTCATTTTCACCTTTCACCGGCACGGAATCCCCGCCCATACCCCCCTCATACCCCCTACATGTCCCTAGTGAAAATATGAAGACTGAGTAAAACTTCATGCTGGAACTGTTAGTGCTGAGCTTTACTTTTTGAAAAGTTTTGTTTAGTATTTACAAGGAATATGTTTTTTTATAATATTTTATACACTTGTTGCTTATTTGAGAATATTTTTAATTGACTTATTAGTTTTACCAAGCAGCACTTTGCATTTATTTTATTTTTCTGTTTGTATAATATTAAACCAAGTAGTTGGTTTAATAAACACACAAACAAATAACAAGCAAATGGTTTTACATTTTGTTCCCATACTGTACTGAAAATGAAAAGAATTGTGATCTCAAAACTGAGATAATTTTTTAACTGTAATTTTTGTGTACCATTACACCCCTAGTGCTTTCACACCCCTGGGCCTGACCTGGCCAGCCCTATTGTTTTCTTTGATTATGCCAAGAAGACTCCCCAATTAATGCAGTTCAATAGGCCTAGCTAACAAACTGTAAACAAGTAGGTGTGTTAGTTTCAGAGTAGTTTCACTGTAGTTAGCTCCTCCCTTAAGGCAGATATAAGGAAGTGTCCACCAGTGTCTGATCAGAACTGAAGAAGCAGCTTGAATGAGCTACAAAACGTATTCATTGAAAAAAAAAAAAAAAAAACAACTTTTTGCCCGGTTGACAAATTGAATTTCTCCTTTGCGTAAATAACCTATTCTATATGCTAACCCTGTAGTTAGGATCTGTTCAAATAATACAGATTATCCCAAAATCTGCTCTAGCCTAAAATCCGATGCTAATCTATACTAAAATTTGTATCAAAACTAGATTCACAGAACATTTGAACAACTATTGATACTAAAAAAAAAAAAAGCAAATTTAAATAAAATAATAATAATAATTAAACAGCAATAATATTTTACCTTGATTTATCAGAGCTAGTATAAAACATCATAGCAACAAAGAAAGTGCTATTATTTATTGCTGTAAATTAGGCTTTGTTGTGATTTATTTATTTTTTTTTTACTTTTTAATTATATTGTGGTATCGAAGTTTGTATCAAGTACTCCTATTGTGGAAATTGAGGTTGAAATTTTAGTATCATGAATGTATGGTTCCACAAGTGCCCCTTAGCAGCAGTGTTGGCTACTACCTACTACTACCTTGCTATCACATTACTACTGGCAGTGTTTCTCAAAGCGATTGTGTGGGTATCTTTGGATTATATATTGGGGATGTCAGATTCTTCTCCCAGTTACCGGTAATGGTCTGATATGAACATTCAGCAGATTTGTTTTTCTCTGATATTTTTAGTAATAGTAATACTATTAATACTATTACTACAACTCAACTTGACAGTACTATTACAGTATACAAGGAGATTGTTTTTGACTTGGGGTCTGTAATTTATATTGCAGTTTATATTGTGTTTAAATCGGCTATTATAATTTAATATTGATTGTCCAATATAAACCATTGATTTACACCTGTACTCTCTAAGTTATGAATGATGCGTTAGTCTCTGTAGATGATTCTTGAAATTACAGATTTCATATTGGCATTTATGTTTTGTAAGGCTATATTTTGACTTTTGACACTTGTAAAATGAAAAAGACAGTTGTGTTATCAGAAAATTTCAGATGTGTGGTTGGTCGTGCCTCTTGATCCCAGCGACCCATCTGCCAGGCCTGAGAGCTTTAGTAGGTTATGTGTCAACACTGGCAATGCAATCACAATTAATCCCCTCTAAAGCACTGCACAATCCCATAACCATCATTGTATAGAGGCATCCCAGAGCTGATGAGCACCGCTGTGCTAAAAATAAACCAATGTCTCTCAAAGGTTTTTAACAGTGGAGATTTTAAGAACAATAGAAGATTTGTAGCATAACTTTTGCAGAATTATCTTGATCATGTTATCTTAGTAATTTAAAATGCCAGCACTTGTCAGTTTTATTAAAGGGCTCATATTATGCAATTTTCTGATCTATGATGTAATATATTCTCATCAAAAACATACTTGGAGTTGTGTTTTGCGTCATTCACACATGTTTAACACATAAACCCTGCATATTTAGGCTGAGCTCTTGTCTCAAACAGAAAACACTGTTAGGTAATTCAGGAAGTATTACCATTGTTGCTTTCTGGTTTAAAGGCAGCTCACTTTGACCCCTTCTTTCACAGTTTATCTCTACTGGGCAAGACACATTTTAGTTTGTTTCCTCACAAATCTCAGATAGAGCCCCTTCAGTGCTGATAAAATCTAATGTAGTAACCGACTAATGTTGTTGGACATTTTACCCACTGATCCGAAGATTGGCAGTTCAAATCCCACTCTCTACATAAACATAATTTGTAGAGTGGTCACATCCACTAACCCACAGGTTGGCAGTGTAGTACCAGCTTTCACAGATGAATGCTGTCATTGTGCCCCTGGGCAAGACACTTAACCCACCTCACCTGCAGTGTCTGCATACACTGGTGTATGAACATGTGTGGGAATGGTTGAGTGTTTTCTTGATGTAAAGCGCTTTGAGTGCCTTAAAGGTGGGAAAGTGCTATATAAAAATGTGAACATTTAACATGGCAGCCTAAATAGTATTTTCAACTACTGCTAACATCACATTTTGGCAGAGGATAGATGAAAAATATATTGGCAGACTTTTTTTTCTGTGTGCTCTTATCCATTATGTCCTAAGTGCTGTTTGTCATCTTGTATAATTAATTAAGCCTCAATAACATCCGCTCAACTCAGTAGTTTTTGTTTCATAATAAATTGTTTAAAAGCCTTTTATTAATTGTGTTTTTTTTTCTTTTGTATTACAGTGAAAAAGGCCAAGCTCCAAGGTGCACCCGGTGAGTATTACTATAATTTATTTTATGTTTTTATTAGCTCACATTACATAACAGTTCGGACGTCAATCAATACAGGATGGTCACATGTTGCTTTGTTCTAGTCATAGTGCCATTTCAGGTGAAAAACAAAATCCCGAATCAATGTTCTAACCAAAGCTGGTATCTGATGCTGGTTAGTGTGTCCTAGTACTTCCACAAAGGTGACTAATATATAGATCTATACACCTACTTCCTCTTAAAACTATGGATGTTATCAGCTGTTTGCTCTGTCAGTGTGTGAGAAATACAATGGGTGAAATGCATCTGCAAATACAGCATTATGACTTGAACTTTCCAAGATTAGCCTATAGGAATTGCTGTAATATAAATGCCTTAGACATGCAAGTTCCTCTTCTAAAGTTCTGTCTATACTCCTCTGTCACTTGGCTTCATAGAAAATGTCATGGTCATTAAACTTTCGCCAAGAGAAGCAATACACTGCTAGGACAGAAAATGTTACTTTCTAGTGGGTGGTCTGTACTCGGCTTGTCTCCATAGAGATATTATTACTTTGCCTGGAATGTTCCACAGTATGGTATTTAACCTGTGCTACATCTCTTTACTTACAGGTGGAAAAAACATAACATTTAAAAACACGTATTCTTACTGTGAGCGGGGTCACATCTCCCAGTTCTCCACAGATCTGACCTGTAACTTTGCTTGGTGATGTCACCTCCTTGTATCTGATGTGATAGATAAGGTGTGGAACATTACCATCCGAGCATAGACGAGCATCATGATCTCCACCAGATTGCTTACAGAATGTGTACATACAGCACCTCTACCTAACCACACCACCAGCAATTTCAACCAATTTCACCAGCTAAAGTACTGGTGAAATTTTATTTATTTATTTTTTCTTAATGATTTAATCTTGTAGAACATTTTGTTGGGTCTTTTTGTCTTCACATCTATAGATTTGGCTACCTGTTAAAAATGGGATACACACAAACCGTTGTTAAATCAGGTAAATCAGTGCCTATGATTTGTCACACTGTCACTTTCCTGCTATATTAAAAAGTCAGTAAGGCATCCGTTTTACATGGTAAGCTCTATAAGTTTTGTATATCAGTACAAAAATATAAATTTCCTGTACTTCTCTCTCAACTGCTCATTGCAAGTCACTGGACACTACAGTATTACATAAGTGTGTGTCCTTCCTGCTTCGGCCTTGCTCAGGTGAGCTCAGATCGGTGGCTGTTAAGTCCAAATCCCCTCTCTTGTCGCCTGACTAAATCCTGGCCGTGTTGAGTCTCTCGCCCACTCTCCTAAGCCAGGTGACACGACGCTTACGGCCACTGGCAACTTTGACTTTGGCTCTTGGACTATACACTGTCCATAGTATAGCTGTCAACCTATGGGCTTGAGCAGAACTCTCTCCAAAATTCCATCACTAATTAGAGCAGCACCGCACCAGATATTATCACAAAATTAGAATATGATTTTAATTGCTTTTAAAATTAAAACCAGTCAGTCCTGTTAGTGAGTGGCCCTGCTTCTCCACAGACCTGACTCATGACATGGCCTGGTGAATGGCAGGCTGCTGTTTGTTAATTTTAGCAGCAAGATAAGTTGTATGCTATTTTTTTGGAATGTTCAAAGCAAAGGCAACACGGGTAGCACAATTATTTTGGCTGAAATGTTATCTGTTTATCAAGGTGGAGCATTATCAATAAAATGGAAATTAAACAAATAAGCAGATATAAGAACAGTGTGATTGGGCTTACAGGTATCTGCACTTCAAACTCCACCCCTGCAGGCTTTAATTTTCCTGTTTCGTAGCGATAAAAAGGACTATTCTTAAAATTGCCAAACAATGATGTCTCTTACAAAGTAAAAAGTTTTGAATAATATGCAAAACATGACATTTCCTCTTGCTCACAAACGCTATCCGAGCTGCCACTGTGCACAGCACTCTCGAGCTGTGCCAGTGGTTTTATTGTATTTAACAGTGTTGTGCCTGCCCCCCTCTGTGGCTGCACACTGTGACACCTGTCCCAGAGCAAACATCAGGGATAATGTGGTTAAGCCTGTCTCTTTAGGACATAATGTAAACACAGGGCTCTCTCTCTGCTGCAGGGTAAGCCAGGATCGAGGGACTAGGGGCTAGGTGCTGTTTGAGATTTAGGTTAAGTGCCTTTAGGGTTATAATAAACATTGTTATAACTGTTATTATATTGTAGCTTGGTAGCTTAGATCATTTGGATTCACTTCAATTCACTTGGCAAACAGGGCTGTGCAGTCAGTAACATTTTTAATGGTGCAACATTTTAATAGTTTCAAATTGTCAGTGTCTTTGGTTATTTGAATCAAGAGGTCTACAGCCAGAGGTGGGTAGAGTTGCCAAAAAACTGTAGGCCTAGAGTAACTTTACTTCAAAATATTATTATTCAAGTAGAAGTACAAGTCAAGTAAGGGTAAAAAAGAAAAGTAAATTGTAGGCCTAGAGTAATTTTACTTCAAAATAGTATTATTCATGTAGAAGTACAAGTCAAATAAGAGTAAAAAAGTGAAACATATAATCTGATTTATAATGTAAAGTTCATGTAACTGGAAGGACATAACATTAAATAATGCACAAAATGGTATTTTAAAGCTAGAAAAATGAAGACTAATGTTATTATAGAAATATTACTCAAGTAGGATTAAAAGTTTCTAGAAAAGCACTTTGAAAAATGCAATTCTTACTCAAATATATGTAAATGAGTAAATGTAAAGTTCTGAGTACTACCCATCTCTCTCAGTACTCTGTCAGTAAAAGCATGTGGTTTGTAGCAGAGTTCAGACTTTGGAAGATATAATATTAACTTATAAAGCCATATTTATCTTATTTATATGTTTTAAAGAAAAACATTGCTATTATCTTAGACAAGGAAAAGGTATATTCATATAGTGTTGAGTATATTCTGGTAAATTTCTAAGCATTCAGTAACTTTAATAACTTAAATGTTGGTTATAGTTATTTTTTTTGTACTGTTGATGCAGCTATAATTGATTTATGTTTATTTATATTGGCAACCATGAGTCAGTGCTATCAGAAATCTATTGTTTCTCACATCCTATTTTCCATCTGTCTCAGCCTTCAAACGTAATCAGTCATCCGAAGAAGCTGGAGCGTTGACAAAAGGCTGGTCTGTGATGTGTTTGCATTTAGAATTACCACACCCATAGCTTAATATTTTAGGTCACGCTGTGCTGGCCTTACGTCATGTTGTGTAAGGACAGATATGGTCCTCATCATGTGACCAGTGCGGGATTGTGTCCAGCTGCTACTGTTCAGAAAATTCCACAGGAAACTGGTACAAGATAACGTTTATGGGCTTAAGCTCTGTGCTCTATCTGAATTTGCTACTCCCAAGATGTCTAGGTAGAATTTTCCTACATTTCGTGTACTACAAAGAGGTGGATTCTCAGCATGACATCCAAGGAAACTGTATTCAAATATTCCCGAAGTAGCTGAGTGTTTGTAGCATGCAACATTGATGGAATTGTAAATGTCAGCCTTATTCGACTGACTGCGTTTTCTTACTAATTTATTGAAAATGTCTAAAACAATCAATAATAGATGAAGGTATTTGTTGCGGTGAGTTGATTCAGGCAGATACTGTGAGGACAGAGTGGCCAACTGGGTACAGGTCCATTCTTAGTTTATCTAGTAATAAGTGGCCTTGATCATGCTAATTATTCATAACATCAGATGTCACTATATCATGTTGAGATCATAAATATCATGATTGAACTATTTTTCACAACTACTGACGTTATAACCCACCAACAATGGAATTTTTTATTTATTTATTTTTTAAATTCCTGTTTTTACCAGTTTTATTAAATCACAGTCAGAGTAAGCTCCTGTGCAATAAGCAACCATTAAAAACACTTTATCATATTAAAATGACAAAATTTTGCTTCTAAAATTATTTTTTATTCTTATTGTTTAGTTCTTTTGATTTATATTGTTTCCTGTCTTATCATATCAGTCAGTGAAATATGCACATTGTATTTACAACAGCAAGAATTGTTTAGTATTAATGATGATCATATTTCTTATTGATACTTTGCAGCTGATGTTAACTGAAGACATTACTCTGTTAGAAGCTCTGTTTCTCAAATTAGACGTTATTTTAACACAGTCTGACCATAAGGAATTGATTTAGCTCAGGGGTGGGCAAACTTTTTGACTCATGGGCCTCGTGGGTTCTAAAATTTGACAGAAGGGCCGGACCAGGAGCAGATGGATCCTCATAAGAGAAAAAAATAACATGGGATATTGTAGAAAACATATCCCATAATTGAAAATCATTACAAAGCATTACAACAAAATATCTTACATTTACTTACCTTTAAAAACACTGAAAATTATTATTATTATTATTATTATTATTTTCATTCAAGTTCGTTGGGCTGGATTAAAAAGATTAAAGGGCCGCATATGGTCCCCAGGCCGTAGTTTGCCCACCCATCACTTAGCTTCAGCAACAACATCTGAGCTGATTTGTGCTGTTAAACAAATCCCTGTCCAATAACATTACAGTCACAAACTAGCATTAGCTACCAGTTTTTCCAGTTAGTTACTCTCAACTTTTTGTAGAAAATCAAACACATAAAAAGGACCATGTACGCTCATAGTGATTGCACGCTCCTGAAAATGTGCTGTTTGAGTCCATTTTGTATTTTTTCCTAATGTGTGCACTGTGTATCTGTGATATCAGAACTATTCTAAAACTACTAAGGTAGAGTTAAATTTTATTTTCTTTATTCTTTATGTGATTTTTTTCAATACACTCTTTAGTTTGTTTTTTGACAACCCTACTTGTAAACCATCAATTCCTCTACTAGCCTCCAGAATGATTATGGACATTCAACCCTCTTCTTCATGACACCTGCTATGACACAGACATTCAGTATTTTAATCATTTGCCCTGTTTTCCTTGTATTGAACATGCTCACACCACAGCTAC